ACAACAATTGCATGCCTTAGTTTAACGTTGGTCAAAATTAAAACATACAATTGTTTTATATATTAAATCTACAGCACCATTGGGCAGAAATAGAAATAATGCATAACAAAAAACCATAATAACATCAATATTATAATATTGCTATTAATCAACGTTGGTCAGAATAATAACAACATTATAATAACTGTAAAAATTATCTATGTTTCAAAATTAAATTCTCCCGTTGGTTCGAATTTAATAATGAAAGCAACAATTTTTAAGTACGCAGCGAAAACTTTAATAAATATTTTTAATTCTATTTTCTAGAAATTGTTACAGCACTTTACTATTCTCTGAACAAAATTGACGTTGGATCAAAATTGTACAGATTTCAACATCAAAATTCAGTTTGAATTTATCAAATATGAATCAAAAGTTTCTGGAAAAAAAAAGAAAACATTTCACTGTGTTCGGCCATTTCGGCCCAGAAGCAGCAATAAGAACCATTTACCCACCCTGTAACAGGCAGTGGCGGCTTTTCAAGGCCTCGCTCCCAGCGTGAAGCCGCAACCTAGGCCTGGGCCGAGAATTCGGCCGAGCAGCATCGCCCGCCTAGGCAAAAAGAGGCCCGAGCCGCGGTGTGGTGAATCCTGATCGTCCAACGCGATCGGACGGTCGGCCTTCAATTTCGCTGGATCAAAACCAGCGTACGCCGTCGCTCCCTGAACCCTAGCCCTCATTCTTTCTCTTTCTCTTTGCCTCACAGCTCTCCCTCAGTCAGTCACCAAGCGAGCGACCACGGCGAGAGCAAGCAGCGAGATCCCGGCGTCGCGCGCCCCTCGCCCGGCGGCGCGCTCCCAATGGTGAGCGTGTCGCCGCCGTCAGCGGCCTTCGTCATGGCGCCCCTATGGCCGGATCCCCATGGTGAGCCCTGCCGCCTTTCTTTCTTTTCCCTCGGCCAGGGTGTGACTTGATGCAAGCACAAGAATGTAAGGTAGGCCACCCCCTTCCCTTTCTTCCCCTTTCTTTGATTCGTTTGTTCAGATTTGATCTGATTTGCCGATTAGGGTTATGGTTAGGGTGTGGGATGGTCACTGTTTTCTTTTCCCCCGATTTGAAATCGGTTCTTTCTTTCCTTTTCCCGAGCTCTCTAGAGTTAGGGTTAGGTGTTCTTCATCCGAACCTTCATCTTTTCTCAGATCCGAAGGGATCGAGGTTAGGATTCAACCGAACCCTATGTCGGCCGAAGCCCCTAATGACCGTCCCCTTTCTGTTAGGGTTAGGGTTTCTCTTTCTTGATCCGATTCAAAATCGGACCAATTTCTTTGGATTTTTTCTGATCTAGATCCACGTACTAGATAGGCTGGCTCTGATACCATTGTTAAGTTCAGTTAGAATCTCTAACAGTAGATCTAGGGTTTGTTCCTTTGAATACGGGATGAATAGAGAGGAAAGATCGGAGAGATAAAGAGAGAGGTGTTGGTGTTGAACCTGAGCCCTCGGAGGGAGTCATGAGTGAGCCATCATCAAACCGGTGATGGAGGCAAGACACAGGCAATGACGGGTGGAGTAGAGGTGGCACGGACGTCGATGCAAGTGTAGATGGATGGCGAATGATGACGACGGCGAAGTCGAGTGGAGCTTCCGTCAGCCGGTCAGGCGCCCTCTTAGATCGGGTCTAGGGTTTGTCGGTGGGGTTTGCGGCTCACGGTGAACCTCATACCTCGAGCCATGCCCCCACCTCTTTATATAGCGCGATGCACGGGGCCCACCAACCATGTAGGGTTGGGCGCCCCGATCGTATGCTGCGTGACCAAGGCCCAATAGGCCGTTGGGCTTATTGGCTGGGAGATCAATCTAACAGCCTCCTCATCGACCATTGGTGGCACTTCTAAGATCCCATACCGGTCATTCTCCCCCGCAATCTTTGTCTGCATTGCTCTTACATGGACATCTAAGGCTACAATCATCGATCAATGCCCTCAAGCGGCTCAAAAAGAGCCTTTGCTTTGAGGGCAAACTTTTTCGCACCAAACAATATCATTCTCCATGAACTTCGTTTTCAGCAATATCCTTTTATCGCACCGCATCATCTCTCATTGCACTCCATATATCGCAAGGTAAGTTTTATGAGTCTTGTTTCATCATAAAGCAAGAATATAACTCGAAACTTCGACATGGCATGGACAGAACGGAGGTCTCGATCAAAACGAAGAAATAAGGGGACTCAGATGGATTCAACTCATCGATTTTCGATCAAGCACACTTAATGGAAGGGGCTCATCAAATGTTCGTAACAATGCACATACATAGTTCTCAATAATGTCAAATACAATATTCACCGAAAACTCCACATTTAAGGAATGTAACTAGGCTTTCACACTTCTCCTTTGAATATGATATTCATGTTTCCATTAACAATGATTATGTTTCCATTAAAATCAGCACCAATTGGATTGAATCGCAGATTCATGTTTGGATGCCATAAGGAATTGAAGGAAGAGAATCGATTCCGGAATGCACGCATGAATGAAAGAGTAATAAAGAATCGTATTGTATTAGGAGGGGGAAAATGGACTTGCAAACAAGATCAATGTCCAAACAGACAACATAATCATAAACAATAGTTGGATAAAAGCAGTTTGGATTGCGACGAACCGAATCGGGAGGCGAAGATCTATCTTGCGGAGGACTCCTAGCATCCGACGACGGAGAGGTCCTCGGCACTACGGCGACGGCGGACGGTGCTCGTGGATAATGCGGACGCCACGGGAGGGCGGCGGCAATGGGCGACCATGCGATCGCCCGAAGGCAAGGGGAGAGAGGTGCAGCTCACCTCGCGTCGGCGATGAGGAGGACCTCATCGTCCGAGCCGAGAGGAGCACGCTAGGGCGGTGGCGGCCCGCGTCACGGGGCGAGAGCGTCGAACGGGAAGGGAGATCGATTACGGGGGTTGTGGGGAGGTCTGAATTTTTATTTTTTAGCCCTTTTTTTTAAAAAAAATCACAAATATGTCCCTGGAGGCAAGATTTCAAAATCTAGACCCTTAGCTCGGCGCCATCGTTGCTGGCGCTGAGGTTACACGTCTGCTGGCGCCGAGCTCTTAGGCTCGAAGCAGATGTGGCGGTGACATGGCAGGAAGCTAGGCGCCAGTCACCCTAGAGCCGAGCACGGCGCCGTAGATCTTGGCGCCGAACTCGGCGCCAGGGTTACTGGCGTCAAGCCTGTCTTACGTATGGGCCCCAATCCTTTCTCTTTTCCTCTCCCTCTCTCTCGCACCTCCCTCGCCCGAGCAGCGCACCGTCGCCCGCGCCCTCTCCCACCCCCCCCGGCCAAGGCCCCGCCACCGCGCGCTCGCGCACGCCCATCGAGGTCACACACAGACCGCGCCCGCCATATTTCCACGCTTTCTGCGCGCCGCCGCCGCCAGAGAGGCTGCTGCAGACCGCTCCCCGCCAGATTGCCATGCCCCGTGGCATGCGCCGATCCCAGCGCCCGCGCCTCGCCTGACGTGTCGTTCATACCATGGCCGCCTTAGAAGCGCCCCTCCGCGCCGGTGCCGTGACTGCCGTGCCGCCGCCACCACCGGCCTCGGCGCGCCGTGCCGCCGCCACGCCACGAGCCAAGCCCATTGCGTGGGCGCCTGGCTTTCAGCGCCGCGCTGCCGCCGCCCGCCATCCTCGGCCACGCCCCCGCCGACCTCGACACCTGCAGCGCTCGGCCGTGCCACTCAAACCTATTGCTATCTGTTCAGAAGTATTATTACTGAGAACTTTGTTGTAGGGCAATACACTCAAATGCTCCGTTGAAGACATTGAGCACTTTCGTCCGACAGTCAGGGACGACGACATGCGTAGCTTTCTAGACGTAAGATTCAAAATTTCCTTTCAAACATATTATTAATACGTTAGATTCTTTCAGTTAATATAATTTTTTTTTTACAGAGGTCATCACGTTTGGCGCCGCAAGTGCGTCTCGATCTCAAGATGTCGTCCTCATCCTCGTCCCCCCTCATCGGACAACAATGGCGGTCATAGCACGACGCTAGACTCCAAACCAAGTTCCAGACGCGCGGAATTACGAGGATAGGGCCCGGCTCTATGGGTTGCCTTGGCGACCCTCCAATACAACCAATTTCGTTCTAAGAACCGAAAGCAATTAATATTAAACCCTAAACCTAGAGTTTCCAATGTTATGCACAACAATGAACCCATAAAACATAACAACATGCGCTGCGGTTACCTAGGTATAATATAAATATTAAAAATTGCATGAAACCCTAAGTAGTGACGATTCTTAGGTTCAAAAATCCGACTAATATATATCGAATCAATATGAAAAATACTAGGAGGGGAGCGAGGATACCTTGCTCTCGAAGATCTACGGATCAAATCAAAGTTTCCAAGGTCCAATATGCCGATTCGTGAGGTATGGCGAAGTGGGGAGAGAAAAAACCGGAGAGGGAGAAGAAAGAAGAGGAAGAAGGCTCGGGCAAGAACGTTGGTGCCGGGGTTAAAACACCAGTTCGGCGCCAGGAACTACGGCGCCGAGCTTCCTGCCATGTCACCGCCACGTCTGCTTCGAGCCCAAGTGCGCTGGCGTCGAGACGTATATGTTCGGCGTCAGCAACGATGTCGTCGAGCTAAGGGTCTAGATTTTAAAATCTTACCTCCAGAGATATATTTGTGATTTTTTTAAAAAAAAGCTAAAAAAATAAAAAATTCGGCAGGCCAGGGCAGCGCGCGGCGGCAACCGAACCCCACTAGCGCACTCGCCAGCCAGTAGACAGTAGTAGACACACGTCAGACGTCACCGTGCCTTTGCTGTCCGGCACACTACTGTGTATTTATAGCGCAGCACCCGGCTCGGCACCTTGCTTGTACGAGCAAGAGAGCTCGAGACCGACGAGAGTCAGGAGACGGGACTCAGCTGACACGGCGGAGGAGAGCGAAGCTTGTATTGTAGCCTGCTTGTAGTTGTAGGTGCAGCAGCCACTAGCAGCAGTCCATCTCGGAGCGGCGATGGTGAGAAGAATGGTGCTGGCGGCGGTGCTGGTGGTGGCCACCGCCGCCGCCGTCCTCGCCGGCGGCGCGAGGGCGCAGCTCAAGGAAGGGTTCTACGACTCCACCTGCCCGCAGGCGGAGAAGATCGTCAAGGAGTTCGTCAAGGCGCACGTCCCCCACGCGCCTGACGTCGCCGCCACCCTGATCCGCACCCACTTCCACGACTGCTTCGTCAGGGTACGTAGCACTGCAGCTAGCTAGCATGCCATCGTCCTGCCTCAGCTGCCTGCGTGCGCGGCGACGAATGCCGATCGATGCCAATGACCGACTGCGCTATGCATGCTTGCTCCCCTGCTGCAGGGCTGCGACGCGTCGGTGCTGCTCAACGCGACGGGCGGCAAGAAGGCGGAGAAGGATGCGACGCCCAACCTGACGCTGCGCGGCTTTGGCTTCATCGACCGCATCAAGGCGCTGCTCGAGAAGGAGTGCCGCGGCGTCGTGTCCTGCGCCGACATCCTCGCGCTCGCGGCCCGCGACTCCGTCGGCGTCATCGTAAGCCTTCCTGAGCGTCCCCATCTGAATGCGTGATGGCTGCATCAGCCGCCGCCCGGTGACCGTGACTCCTCTCTCTCCGCGCGCGTATGCATGCAGGGCGGGCCGTTCTGGAGCGTGCCGACGGGGAGGCGCGACGGCACCGTGTCCATCAAGCAGGAGGCGCTGGACCAGATCCCCGCGCCCACCATGAACTTCACCACACTCCTCCAGTCCTTCCGCAACAAGAGCCTCGACCTCGCCGACCTCGTCTGGCTCTCAGGTACGGTACTCCATTGCCGCCACCATTCTGAGCTCAGCTACACTGCTTATTTGTTATTTCACCTGACGACGACTTCACCATCATTCAACAATTTTCTAAAAAAAAGGAGAAACAAACAAGAAGATTATCTTTTCACCTGTCAATCAATCAACTTAAGCCTGTTCGGGAGGCCGTATCGTATCGTGGATTATTTACTGCTGGTTGGTTTGGTGTGAGAGAAAAACACTGTTCGCGGCTGGAAATTTACGATCGTTTACGAGCAAGCGAACAGGCTACACACAACTGACATGCCAAGGAACTAGACAGAGATTAGCAGTGACAGGTCTGACTAGTCCTCAGATTACAAGGCACACTTTGCAAGTTTATCTGTTTCCCTTTCGCTGATTCCAACCAACAGCACCGGGCCACCGACACCGAGTGATGTTGCATTCCCTTTCGCTGGATGAATCATTTGTTTGGAGAGTAGTACTCCTATCTGAATAGTCCTTTTGGTCAGGCCGGCATTAGCAGTAGGATAGGAGTAGTAGTGCTCTGATTGTACTAGATGACTGGTAGCCTTTGGCAAATTGTTTATGACACTAGGAGCCTAGAACGTTTCAGGAGCAGTTAGTTCGATGCCATGGCCGGATTGGACGGGCAACCTGAACATGCACACACCGGTCCTGCTACTGGTAGTAGTAGTAGTAGTTCATTATTCAGTGAATAATGGCATCCATTTGTCGGTCACAGAACTATGCACCCATAAAAGACGAAGTTCGTTCTGTGGGTTAAAATCTACATCTGAAAGGCAAAAGTTCAGCACCTAACAGTATTTAGTGACGGTCCATGCATGCACAAATCAATGTTAGGAAGCATAGTTTTGTCTTTCTAGAATGAAATCGGTAGCCAACAGAAAAGGAGGCTTTTTAAACTGGGCAGCTGCAACTCTGTTCATCTTCAGTAGTGTCAAGCACAGCTGAGTAGAGTAGCTGACAGCTGCACGTCGTCCTTGAGAAGAGACACAGCATGTTAGTAGTTAGCATCTAAAGGATGGTTTTGTCCTGCCTATGTATGTAGCCGGAAAATGATTCAGTACGACAGAGAGAAGATAAATTTGCCTAAAAAAACTAGTTATGAGGATAACTGAAAGAGATTGTAGGTGACCCCCCTACATTGCATCCCAGGCAGAGGCAGGCTTAACTTACAGCATTCTTCAGAGCAGGTCATCTTGCTTAAAGTAAAAGAAGAGATTTGATGGCATGTGGAGAAGGAGAACTTGGAATCTGAATATACCAGAATATGTGTATACTCCTCATCATTTGAGGAGGACATCCCGGGTCACTGACCAGTGACCAGACTGGTTTGAGCCACTGATGGGCGTCCATTTTTCGTATGTGCATGTCTGCATGAATATATCAGAATATGTGTATACTCCTCATCATTTGAGGAGGACATCCCGGGTCACTGACCAGTGACCAGACTGGTTTGAGCCACTGATGGGCGTCCATTTTTCGTATGTGCATGTCTGCATGACATTAATCGGCAACCTCTTCTGATGTAGACATGCACGCTGCTGCCAACTACCGACAAATACGTACCTCATATTTAGAACCTGCCGACAAATACAAGGATATACAGTAATTGCAAAGCAATTCAGAGAACACTGCTAATTGCTGATGCTGAAGTGCTGAACCATGCAGGGGCTCACACGATCGGCATCTCCCACTGCAACTTCTTCAGCAAGCGGCTGTACAACTTCACGGGGCGCGCCGTTCCCGGGGACGCGGACCCGTCGCTGGACCCGCTGTACGCGGCGAAGCTGCGGCGGAAGTGCAAGACGCTGACGGACAACACGACGATCGTGGAGATGGACCCGGGGAGCTTCCTCACCTTCGACCTGAGCTACTACCGGGGCGTGCTCAAGCGGCGGGGCCTGTTCCAGTCCGACGCCGCGCTCATCACCGACGCCACGTCCAAGGCCGACATCCTCAGCGTGGTGAACGCGCCGCCCGAGGTGTTCTTCCAGGTCTTCGCGCGCTCCATGGTCAGGTTGGGCGCCATCGACGTCAAGACCGGCTCCGAGGGCGAGATCAGGAAGCACTGCGCCTTCGTCAACAAGCACTAGCGCGGCGGCCCATCTGGGACGCCGGAATTGATGCGGGAAATGGCTCGATTGCTCGCCGGGAAATCCTTGTCAGATACATGCTCTGCATTTGCAGGCGTTCTCGGTGGTGTGGTGAACGTTAAATTGTACATCAGTGCATGGATTTTGTTGTTTACTTTGTACGTTGAGTTGATTTTTTTCTTGTATTCTTTTCGTTCCTTTTCTCTTGTTATTGTTTTGTTTTTGTGATCTTTGCAACTGTAATTTTATTTTAGTGAATGGTATACATGGAGATATGTGATAATAATAAGGTGAGATTCCAATCATGTCCTTGCACCACTGTCATTTCGATCATGTTGTGTTTTTTCCGAAAGAAATCAAAATTTTTACGAGTGAAATGAAAGTAGCTAAAAGCCCAAAACCTTGTTCGTGGTGCATGTAGTAGAGAGCAGGGTTCATATTAGTCCCACTTGATTTCTATGGAAGTGTGCTCTTCTTTCCCAACGTGCCATCGTGTGCAACCAAGGGGTGAAAAAAAAAGAGGTCAATGGTCCAAACATGTCAAATGTCTCCCCATTGCGTAGGAATGGTAACAGGTACCCAAAACCCAATGGCTAAAAACCATATTAGGGTGCAGGTATGGGGCCTTTTTAACCCCATGAGTATGCTATTGGGGGCATTTCTTCCCCCATCAGGTACATCGGTATGGGTACATTCCCTTCTATCCCATACTCGCTACTCGACAGGGGACCTGTTAGCAGATAATAGGTGGATCTAGAACGCAGGAGGGTATTATTTAGCACATATATACTGAAAACCCTAGCCCCTTCTCTAATCCTCATGTTGCGCTACTTATCAAGTGGCGGGTGTGGGTTACCCGATGGGTACTCGTTATCCATCGAGTGACGAGTATGGTTTTTTTTGTACCCGGCATGGATAATGGGTGCGGGTGACTGGGGAGTTATACATTAACGGGTGTAGGTATTTGGGCTTTTCTCCCACCGGGTTCCCCTACACGCTGCCATCCCTAACATTGAGGTAGAGGAGCCACTATAGCTACACAAATTTGAGTCAACTACGGTAGACCGTGGTTGTACTAGCTTATTATAACAACGATTGGCCTTATACAGAACTATGATGGTATGCAGTAGCTAATCTTATCGTTCATTATGAGGATAAAGAGGTAGATCTAATGGCATACTTGGTGGGGCACGACATACTCTAATATCCCCGAGATGCTTGGATGATCATATTGGGAGCGAATGATTTCCTTGTGGGGGCCATGACTAATGAATGCCGCCACGACTAGGAGGTATGACATAAGCATGCGAAGAAAGAGATGGACGGTGGCGAAAACCAAAGCATCTTGAACAACTAGGATCTTCTCCAACTCCGCGATCACAGAGAAGAGCGATAAGCAATGGTGGTCGGGAAGCAACAACAGAGCATGGTGGCTGCAGCGGAGCCGAATGTGGTGTGGCGGTTGTGAAGGGTGGTGCACGCCATCTTGTATTTCCTGTAGTTGTTGTGTTGTGCCAAGGCCCGCTGTTGGGTGGCAAGCTCGCCATGGAACTCCACCACCGTGGAAAGATTGCGAGGAAGGCGTTTGACGAGCTCTTTCTCTCCTTCCACCATGGCCACGACCGCCATGTCGTCTCCTCCTACGACAATGCCAGCGTGGATGGGTTGTTCTCGTGCCATACGTTGGGCCCAGGTTTGGAGTTCCACAAGCACTCTTGCACGTGACGTGAGGTTGAATTCAGCTGAAGCAACACGTTGTCGTCTGCCTTAGGAGGTGAGATGGAAGAAGGCTCAGCCTACTCGGTGATGCCATTGCGCAGTTGCCAATAACACCACAACGAGTAGCCCATTCAGCAGTTGCGCCTCTGGCATCATCTTCGTCTCCTCCTAGGGCATCATCCACTGGACCACCATATGCTCTTCCAGTGTAGACTCGTGCTCACCAATCGTCCGCCCACAAGCAGCACACATCCTCTAATGTTATTTGAGTAACCCAGTGGCCCGTGGTGTAAGACAAGACACCAGAAAATAATGAACCAACTCTATAGAATCTCTACACATTTTTTTTAAATTAGGCGTTATTTCATTGGGTTACCCCACTTAACTTTACATCCCTAATATATCGTCAATGGCACGCACCTAATTCCTGAAGAACCATCGCGGTCATGCAACAAGAGGGGAGGTTCGCTGTCACGTGTTCCACGATAGTCCAAGTATTCGTCGGCAAATTACAAAACAAATAAAAAATAAAAATAGTTAGGCCGCTTGGCTGAGGCTGACGCTGGGACCCACGGCAACAGGAAGAAGCGACCGAGCCGGCACCAACCGACGACCGTGGGGGACGCGCCCACGGCCACCCGCACGGCCGCACGCCTCGTCTCCGAATCCGCGTGCGGCTACGAGCCCCTGTCGTCCGAACTCGCCGGGCACCGCCGCTCCCCGGGCCCGTCAACGGCCCTCCGCCGCCGACCTCCCGGCGCACTGCGCCGTCCCTGCGGAAGCGCGAGCGGGGTCGTCTCCTCCACACTCGCCCCCCCGTCGGCCAGCTGCTTGCTAAGGCCCCGTCGCCACGCCGGCGCCGTGCCTCGTGCGCTTGGCCGCAGGGTCGTTGGTAGGCGCGTGCAACCAGCCCCGTCGTTGCTGCGCGCCGCGCGCGGATGCCCCGGTGCGTGGCTCGCTGACGCAGTGGTGAGGCTGCTGAGGGGGCCGGGCGGGGAAATCTTGGATCCGGGTTGGTCGGCGACGTGGCGGTATCCATAGAGATTGGATCCATGGGCTCTTCCTCCCAGCACGATTCCATCTCCGCGCCAGGTAACTCGGCTCTCGTCAATACCCTTCCTAGCAAATTTCCTGTTCAGCAGTTTCGTCATACTCCTACTTGGATGTGGATTACTAGCCCATCAAATTTGCTGATAGTATGGGGTTGCGTGCTTCTCTCATCTTCTCTTCCTTTATGACTATACAATGATTGGCATATCAATGGGCGCCAATCTCGTGGGTGTTGTTGAGACATGGGTTGGTTTTTCAGTTAGGGGCCGTTCCTTGGGTTGCAATGAGTGACTTGGGCACAGCATTTGAACAAAAGAAGCAATTTGTTACTGGTACATAAGCAGGAACATGCTGGTCGCGCACCAACTATAGTTGATGCCCTTAATCTTCCGAAAAGAAAATACATGCTCTTCTGCCTAAGTTTTGTTCCGCATAGGTGTATACTCTAGATGACAGATGTCTCACGCTGTTAGCAAATTGTTTTTTTCTACACCAAATATTGAACTTATGGTTCCTAACCTTAACAGGAAGTTTGGAGTGTGCTGATGGCAGCAGAAGCAGCATCAACAAGTGGACCAAAATTACGAGCACAAACTCGTGGAGATGGTGCCTAGGGTTGATTTACATCGTTGCTGTTGCCGGTATATGGATTGCCGCTAGCTACATTGTGCAGTCTGTTGTGGATGCCGGCGTCTCTCCGTTCTTGATCACCTACATATGCAATTCTCTGTTTGTCGTCTACATTCCCATAGTTGAGGCTGCCCGGTACTTTGAGGATTCTGTCGGCAACTTTTGGACAAAGTTGAAATTCAAGGATGCTGAAAGCCTGCAGCAGGCATCTGACCTGGAGAGTGTGAATCTTCTCCAAAGTGGGGGGCATGAGATCAATGTTGCCTCGGATCAATCACAAACAAGGCCGTCTGAAGACACTTCAGTTCCAGATACAAGCTTCCCTGCCAGCAAAGGGTTGGATGCAAAAGGGCGCTGGACGCGTGCTCGTGTGGCCAAAGTGAGCATGCTAATCAGCCCCTTTTGGTTCCTTGCACAGCTTACATTCAATCTGTCTCTAAGATACACCACTGTTACGGTAAGTGTTACTAAAGAAGAACTGAATGCTACTTCCATATTTTATTGAGATCTAGTTTTGTTTTGTCCTATCACTATTTGGTCTAAAATATGCTTCTATTTCTGTGAACTTGCAGTCAAACACGATCTTGAGTAGCACGTCTAGCCTCTTCACTTTCTTGGTTGCATTAGTTTTCCTTGGAGAGACATTCACATGGTTGAAGCTAATTAGTGTGCTTCTCTGCATGGGAGGTACAATAATTGTCAGCCTGGCTGATTCAAGTAGTTCAGTTAATGCCATTGCTACAAATCCTCTCCTTGGAGATTTCCTGTCCATTGTTTCTGCTGGTTTATATGCTGTGTATATCACCTTGATTCGAAAAAAAGTTGCCCGATGAGAAAGAAGGTCAAGGACAAGTGAGCATGGCTCAGTTTCTGGGATTTCTGGGACTGTTTAATATGTTGTTTTTCCTTCCTGTTGCATTGGTGTTGAATTTCGCCAAGCTGGAGCCATTCCACAAGCTCACATGGGAACAAGTTGGTCTTGTTGTCGGAAAAGGTAGGTTTGCTCTCTATTCATGAAAGTTCCCTACTGTCTGATTCATAACATAAACGATAGTACTGCAATGCCATATCTCAATGGTATGTAGGAATAACTTGTAGAAATATTGAGGATCCATTAATAAAATTACACGGTGAGAAATCAACTGCCGCTAATTTATGATTTCGACATTCTTTGCAGGTTTGATAGACAATGTTTTGAGTGACTACTTGTGGGGTAAAGCGATCCTTCTCACAACAACTACGGTCGCTACAGCTGGCCTCACAATCCAAGTTCCAATTGCTGCCATTGTGGACACGCTCACCGGTCATGCTCCTCATCTACTGGACTATATTGGAGCTGCTGCCGTCCTAGTCGGTTTTGCTGGGATCAACATACCAGTCGGAGAGTCTCCACAGGTTGTTCAGCAAGAGCAGGAAACTCCAATTGTTAGCATGGTTGATGACCGGTTCATTTGCCCAGCAGTACCAATGGTACTGATGTCGTCTCATAGTTGCCTGGGACCGTGTGATTTATCAACATTGTATAAAGGGGGGTTGGCCAGATGAGTAGTTTCTTTGTTTTTCCTTAAGCCATGCCATCAGGACAAGAGATGAACATGGACTGAAGTTAGAGTAGTTTGTTCAGAACTTTGGGTAACAAGTGTTTTGGGATCTGTATTTTATTTTATCTTGTAATTATTTACATCTGTATAACCAGTTTCATACGGAAGAGTAAATTCTGTTTGTGATTCATGGAAGGTGTTGCATTTCTAGAAGGGTATAAGTAGCTGAAAATTGTATTATGTATATGGTGAAACGCAGGCAATGGTAACTTGAGCTTATATGTAACGAGGTGTTTTAAGCCCTATGCCATGGAAATGCTATTTATTTCTGACTTTGACTCCCAACCATCAGAATAAGTTGTTCTACTAACATGGTAACACCACAACATTAGCTTTAAGACACTTTTTTTGCCACTCTATCCTAAAAGGTCTTCTCGATTGGACAGGATGAGTCCTCTTGAATCCTGAAGGAATAATTGACTGCAGCTAGTTATGCTTCAGGTGAAAAACATGAAAAACCTGTCATAGATTATCAAAGAAACCAGACACAGCTAATGTGTTTGTCCTTACAGAAAGAAGCCTACAGTTGTGGACAGCTTGCTTGACAAAAGAGGCTGTGGTTGCAAACTGTAAAGCAGATATGATTATCTTTGCAGACAAAATAGATCCTGGTTTCCATCAGTTTTTTTTTGAACCAGAGCTTTTATTAAAGATTAAAGTTTAATGTCATTACAAAGGAGGGCAACAACGTCCCTAGAAACAGAATAAAAAAAACACTAGACCCTCATGGTGTCTAATAGCTATCTGGCATAACTCGTGCACCACTTCATTCTGATCACGCCTAATCTTAAGTCTTCCTCTAGGCGATGAAGAGAGAACACTTTCTCAAGAACTTATTGGATCAGTGGTTGTATCAATGATCTATCATGACATCACGCCTTGAGCTTTCCAGCCACAGCAGCACAATTAGTCTCCAGGATAAATGAGCAATGAGCCCAGTGAGCTGCAAAGACTGACACCTTCGAGACAGGCTGCAGACCCAGCTCCTTAGCATCCCTGCATTAGAAATGCAATCGCCAGGAAGTAAGTTTTGGCTGGCCCTCCCAGTCCCTGATAATCACGCCAGTGCCAGACTGTCAGGGTTAAAAGCCCCATCAACATTAATTTTCAGAGTACCCTGACATGGCGGGATCCAGCTCTTGCACAAGACTTCCTTGGTATTAGCTGAGGACTTTGCGCTCCATGGCAGAAACTTCCCTTTCCTGCTTTAATCAACCAGCTGCCTCTGTTGTCGGACAAGTTACAGAGAGTCCATATACTGGGTTAGGAAAACAACCGAACCAAGCATGGATGTCTTGCCATTAGCTTTTAAAACATTATTCCAAACAAACCGATCCTCCAGTGAGCATTAAGAAATTTGCTTTTACCTCCTCTGTATAGTTAGACAAGAGACGAGTAGTCAGTCTGGCCCTGTCCATTGATGTCATCCTCTGCAGGCAAGGTCAAGTACTTGTGCATTTCAAATCTGAGAGCAGCTGCATGGACAGGAATCACATGCATGGAAGCGGTCCTCCATGTCATGATCACACGACTCACAATTCGCCTGTGTAGATAAGTGTCGAAAGCATTTGTTAGCTCGAGTTGGCAATCCATTGTTTATGACTTTCCATGCAAAGATTCTGATTTTTGCCAGTATCTTGAGCTCTCATATCTCCTCCCAAATCCATCTCCCCTCCTCAGATGTTGAGTTTCCACAAGTTTCACCCACACCATGGTGCAAGTGGCCAAGCGCATGGCAACTCTATATGTACTCCTGATTGTAAACAGTACAATTTTTTCCCCCCCATAATGCCACACAAAGCAGTCCTCGTCTTTTTCACCAGGAAGCTTGATCTTCGAATTTTCAGCAACATCATATGGAAGGGCGAGCTTGGTGCAAGCGGTAGAGTCTTACCGCCTGTGACCGGAAGGTCCCGGGTTCGAGTCGCGGTCTCCTCGCATTGCACAGGCGAGGGTAAGGCTTGCCACTGACACCCTTCCCCAGACCCCGCACAGAGCGGGAGCTCTCTGCACTGGGTACGCCCTTTTTTTATCATATGGATAGAAAAACCTCCTCACTGCAGTTTCATCCCAAGAGTTAGATTGAGAATCAATTAACTGATGCACCCACCGAAGACGGCAAACGCGGGTACTACCTATTGGTCTCAGGTTGTGTTCCCGAGGAATCCAGTTATCCCTCCATATCCTTGTACTTCTCCCATCACCAATCCTGTACACCACACCAAGTTTTAAAAGCTCCAACCCATATTCAATTCCTCCACATGTTTGAGATCCATCAGCTGCTGGAACAGTATCAAGTAAATTACCCTGAGGGAAATATTTAGCTTCCAAAAGATACACACAGAGGCTATCTAGGAAGGCCCCAGCATCCATGTCTGTCTAGCAAGTAAAGCCTGATTGAAACGTCTTAAATCCTTGAAACCCATAACTCCAGAATCCACTGAATCTTTCGCTTACCATTTTCAGATCCTCACCAGAAAGGCCAGTATGTGCTTCATCAGATCATCACATAAAGTCAGTGGAAGTTTGAACACACTCATCACATATGTAGGGAGGGCTTGTGTAACAGATTTGGAACAAGACCTGCTCAAATTCATCCGTACTGCTGAGAAATGACTTGAAACATTATTTCAGATACCAAAATCACCGCCAAAGCTAAATCAGTCATATGGACTGCACTTCCTGATGTCCTCAGAGGCTACAGGTTGTGAGGCTGCCTCCTTAGCATTACACATGTATAGTTTGCTTCTGTTTACATCAATCCAGCTTGTTCCGGCTTCTTTCTTTACCTTTCTTGATTTCATCAGCCTCCTTACCTCTACAGCGTCTTCCCATCGCCCAATCGTCCTGTACACATTTTCAAGAAGAACATAGCTCAGGTGGTATTGAGGTTCTAATTCCATCATCTTCTTTGCAACCCTTACTGCTACATCTGGGTTAGTATGTGTGGCGCAGGCACCAAGGATTGCTGCCCACAGTGATGAATCATCTCTAAATGGTGACTTGTTTACAAGATCTTCAGCCTCTTCTAGAAGCTCTACTCTACTGAGGAGGTCAACAATGCAATTGTAATGTTCAATACCAGGGGGGATACCATAGTCCTTGCTCATTGAGTTGAAGTAGTTCCTTCCTCCTCAACCATCCCAGTATGACTACAAGCAAAAAGAACACCAATGAAACTGATGTAGTCTGGCTTGACCCCTTCTCTAACCATCTCATTGAACAGGCTGATGGCTCGCTCACCATGGCCATTCTGAGCACAACCACAAATCATGGCATTCCAAGTAATCATGTTGCGGACAATGCTCCTTTTAAAAACTCTGTAGGCGTATTCTACCACACCACATTTCGCGTACAGGTCCACGAGTGCGGATTCAACAATGACGTCTCCGCAGCCTCTCATCCGCATAAAATGGCAGTGGATTTCTTTTCCTAGCTTCACCGCAGACAGACCAGCACAAGACCTCACAAGAGTTCCGAAGCTATACCAGTCATTGTCCTCCACATACATCTGACGAAACAATGAGAGAACCATCTCATGCTTCCCGCTTTGACAATACCCCCCAAGCAGGGCACACCATGAAACTGCATTCCGGACTTTCATCCTGTCGAACACCTTGTGTGCATCCACCATCATCCCACATTTGGCGTACATGTCAAGTGTGCTGCTCTCCACGATGACATTCCCACACAGGCCACGAGTCACAACCTGCGCGTGCGCCTCCCTACCCTGCCTCGCCCTCTTCAAGTTCCCCAGCGCCGTCATCATGGAGCCAAATGTGCAGCCGTCCGGATAAACCCCATCTGTCGCGAGCATAGCCCGGAACCACCGCAGGGCCTCGTCGAACCAGTCGTTCCTCACGAATGCTGATATCAGCGACGTGTAGCATATCCCGTCCGGGGAGCCAATTTCCTCAAACGCCCTCCGCGCGTCGCCCGGCGCGCCCGAGTGGCCGTACATGTCCACGAGCGCGCTCAGCACGACGCCGTCGTCGCCGTACCCTCGTACGACGGTGGTCCCGTGCACGCAGGCTCCCGCGCGGAGGTCGCGCAGCACGGCGCACGCCTTGGCGGAGGCGGAAAGCGCGTGCGCGCTGGGGGCGACGTCGTCGTCGGCGCCATATCCGCCGGCGGCCATGGTCCTGAGCTGGAGGAGCGCGCGGCGCGGGAGGTCCGCACGGAGGAAGGCGGCGAGGACGGAGGAGTGCGCGACGACGTCGCGGCGGGGCAGGTCATCGAACGCCCTGAGCGCGTGGGGCAGGTGGTCCGGGAGGCGGACGTAGAACGCGAGCAGCGCGTTAGCGAGGTAGCGGTCCGCGAGGAGGCCCGCCCGCGCCGCGCGGGCGTGGAGGCTGTAGCCGAGGCGCGGGGGCAGCGGGCGGTGCAGGAGCACCGCGGCGAGCGGGAGCGGCGAGGAGGAAGCAGAGGCGGCGGCAAGGCGCGCGGCGGCGGGTAGGTCGCGGGAGTCCAGGAGCCGGAGGACAGCGGCCACGTCGTGCGGCGCGGCTGGGGACGGCGGCATCTTGTTTTCGGGTCATGAGATGACGGGAGCACGGCGCGCCGGCGGCGTTCGGAGCGGCGAGGAGTCAAGGCCAGACACTTTTTTCTATTCTACCTGGCGAAGCCCAAGCAGTGAAATAGGCCCACAAAAGCCCAAGCAGTGCAAACAGGCCCATAAAAATCTAGGTTTTCTTCTGTTGTAGAGCAAGAGGCTATAAATAATCACCTGACCCTGCTGCTTCTTCTTACCTAGGGTTCCGACTTCCGCCACCATCCGCCGCCGCCGCCGTCGACGAAGATGCTGATGCTTCGTCATCGTCGTTGTATCCATCGCAGCTCTTGCTCTACGTACTCTCGTCTCCCTCTTCTTTAGCTTGGGTATATCGGTATTGTTTCTTTTGTTGTATTTATGCAATGTTTGATTTGGTGATAGGAGCGGTGATGAGCAATCTTTTGTGGACTAGAGTTTCTGATACTAACACGGTAGTATTTGACGACCAAACCCTTGGCTGTCTGAGCTCCCAATTAACAATCTTCAACCTTTTCGCTGTTTATATCTACTAGATTGGTGGTCTTTATTTCCTGCTGCTTTGCCATGGTATAATGAGATTACGAGCAATGATGAACAACTGTGTTTTGGACTAGAGTTTCTGATGCTGCTACTTTGTTGGTGGTAGTTGAAGACCAAACCCTTGGCTGTCTGAACTCAAATCTCACAAACCAGCATATTTCTTTGTTTGTTGCGTTGTCGTTAATAGAAATGTCTTTTTGTTGCATGCGTCCATTACCAATTCCGGAGGATGAACTCGTTCCTCACGGTATAATGGCTCGGGCGCAACAAGCTATTCTCTTGATGTGTGGTTATATCCTGATTGGTGGCGTTCTTATGCCAATCCGATCCTGGAAAGGCCACCTATATTCATTCACATGTAAAATTTCTAGATATTGTTAGATTTTTTTGCGCATTTGTTTCGGGATCTAAATGATGTGCAACTTTGAAAGGGAAAGCGTTCAATCTTTGTGATTGTGACGTACCATGACAGTTCTTTCATATTGAATAGGAAGATCTGATAGATCCCAGAAATTTGTTTTTGTTTCTTTGCTCCTCTCTGTTTAGAGATGTGGATGATGATAACACAAGTAAAATACAGTTATCCCTGTCTGATTCCTCCAAAAGGGTGCTGAGAACATTTATCTGACACATTTCTGTATTTAAAAGTTTGATGTCTTGTTGTTCATGCGCATTTTATTTTCAATAACTGGAGTAAACACTTCACTGCTTCACTGTTGTCGTTGATCTTGGCCTTTGATGACATGATGGTTTCAGAAGAGGCAAATTTTTGTCTAATCTGTTGATATTTTTCATGAACTAGGACGGTCTGAGGCCATTTGATGACCATGAATCTTTTTGACAATTTGTGCCCAGTTGTTTCCTTGAACAATCATTCATGGGTTTTAAATGTTAGATTAGATTGATATTTTGACCAACGAAAGAGTGGCCGTGACGACTTGGAAATATTCAAGCTCAACAGACCAAATCACATGTCTCTCTCTATAGTGAGATTGATCTGTATGCCGATTATCCCGCTGAACTGAGCCATATGATTTCTTTTTTTGTCCTTGTTTAATTACACTTGAATTCTTTTTCTGTATTTTAATTTACAATTGGGTGTTGATGTTGTGATGATGTGAAACAAGCTCCCTCTTCTGAAGGAATTGAGGACACTTGCTGGCAGAATCGAACCAATTAACCCTATTGCCACCACTGAGTAACTATTCTCCCTTCAAACTTTTTTGTTTGCTGTTTTGCTTTTCTTGTCCATGAACTCTTTAAATGACTAGAGAATTATAAATTACTATAAATCACTGTCCAGCTAGCCCTGTGATGATTAGCTTATACATCTGGAATTACCGTCAGATTTACTTGTGACGACAGTTGTCTGGCTTTCTGAGGATTTATCTATCACTCGTGTATCCTATATGTTTGACCCAGATTAGGCTGCTTGTCTATAAGTTACTATGAAGTTTAATAGGATTTGTATTATAATTATTACATGTCAATTTTTACTATCAAATGTGCATATCAAATTGTGTATCTAGTCCCTGTGAAGATCTCAAGACCTACCGATAGGAAGTGCCGTTTGACACTGTAACCAGCAGCTGGCTCTCTCCGCTGCTGGTGTCCATCCAATCATAACCTTTGTGGTTTGGTCTGTGATGGGGCTCACACCTGCAGTTGTTTGATTCATCTGTGGTGTGTGATTTAAATCGGGTCTCTGAGGGATTCTACATAACCTTGATGTGTTGATTTGTTGTTGATTCTTTGGTTCTTGTGGATTGTTAGTCAGATTTTGATTTGTTCATTGTTGGCTGTGTTGGAGGATGATGATATGGTTTTGTCGCCCCAGTCTTAGGATCCGTACTTCTGGACCTGTGCTGATTGACATGTTATCGATTCTGACTCCATTGTCAAACTATGATTTGTATTTGTGCATTTATTAGGTATGATGCATTGATTGATCCTAGACATGTTTTCTGGTGCATTGCAAATGATGACAAAATCAAGGCTTGTTTCTCTACATTCGCAGTTTGCCGCCTAAGAGCTTTCGCCTTGCCAGGCTTGAGAGCAAGTGCTGCCAAATCCTTCCTTGGATGTCTGATGCAATGCTATGCACAATTCTTTCTTATGTTTCTGCATATATGTGTTTTTCTGCTTTATGTAATCTTGGTTTGTGTAGTTTTCCTGTTGGTTTCGTTGCTTTATTTTTCTTGCCAATAGTTTTATGTGTTTATGGTTTCTTGTTCAATTTGACTAAATTGTGTGCTGTGCAAGATCAGCTTCTTGTTTGGACTTTGAAACTGTAATCCGGTCCAGGCAATCGGCAATCGTCCTGCCATCTTGCGAGGTTCAATCCGAGCCAGCTTAAACTCACCTGGATCTGACACCCTGATTTTCTGAGCCCTTTCGGCTGGTACATGCCTTCTCTTCTGTTCAAAGAATCGTTTGTCCTTTGCTTGTTTCGTTTGAGAGGGATGTATCCGAAAAGTATTTTGATGGATGTATATCGTCCTATGGTTGTTTATTTGGTCGTTAGTATTGTTATTTTTATTACTATAACCTTGTCATACTCAAGATGAACTAAACAGGAAACAACATAGCTGGGTGTTGGTTCGAGACTGGTAGTGGACTCAACGACTCGACGCGTTTCAAGCACGACTGCCACCGCATTATCGGCCAGGCTTACAAGGATTGTGAATGTGAATGCCATGGCGAAATCGTGAGTTCAACCGGATAATGCGGCAGGTTCCGCTAAGTTGAGCTGTTGAGAACGTGTGGAGGTGGAGGCTCTCCGGTCTCTTTTTAACTGTACTTGTTGTAAATATGAAATAAGTACTATTATATTTGTCATGAGATCAAGTTTTATATTCAATTTCGTAAGTGTTTTTGCCAAGGAGAATCTGGAACAGAAATTTCTACCAGCCAAATGATTTCTTATTTAATAAAAACATTGCAGCCAAATTATTTCTGAGAGCCAAATGATCTTTAGGGACAATTACTATTATGCCTAGCCCCCTGTCTGTACCTTGATTTCTCCTGATGGCAGCCCTTTGCTCGCATCCCATCCATACGGTGTCAAATGTCCACGCCTGCCATTACCATCGAAAACCCCGTTGCCTACCTCACGCAATAAAAAAATGACGTACAAGCTAGGATCTCGACTGTACAAATGTATTTTTCGGTACGGTTTTCTTGAGCTCTTATGCAGGCTTGTATAGTGCCCAAAGCAGGCCTGTTCACTAGATTTTTATAGTATTAGACAACATAGGTTTGTACAAGCCGATGTAACACAAAAATGAAATATTCTCATTCCCGTACTAAATCTAGAAATATGAGATCTCAGCTATAGATGGCCAAATGGTCTACTTGGCCTTACATTTTTCGTTTATCGCCTGTGTCCATTATTGTGTATGTGAACCCGGCGTGCTTAAAAATGCACACGAATCCGGTTGCTTTAAAAAAAATTGAATCCATTCTTCAGAGTTCACATGACCGCGTTAGGATTTACGGTAATGCTATGACTCTGACGTCCGACGGTTCCAGACGCGCGTCAGATAACTATTGGATACGGCGACCGCATGTCCTCCTCCACTCGTCTCTCATGTCCTTATCCGCTTGCACTGCAGTTATTTCACAGTCCGTCCACACATTCGCTGCCGCTGCTCCTCTCCTCTCCCTCTCCTCCCCCATGGATCCAGCAGCGCCGCGAGCCGGCGACCGCGCTCCTCCCCGCCCTCCGCCCGTCCTCCACACACCTTGCTCCCTCCATGGCCGGCGGCGGCGGCGTCCTCTCCCACTCCGGCGTCCTCCTCCCCCACCCCGGTGGCGCCCATCCCCGACATCGGCGTCCTCCCCCACCACGGTGGCTCCTTCTCCCACACCGACGTCTCTTTCCCCGTCCCCGACGTCCTCCTCCCCCACCCTGGCTCCGTCTTCCCCACCCCGGCGGCGCCCCTCCCTGACACCGGTGTCCTCCCCCACAGGGAGCTCCTGACGCCCTCAGATCTAGCGGCCATGGTGCTCCCCGTGCAGGGCTCTCTCCCTCTATATGTTGCAATTGTATCTTTCAGTTGCTTTAGACGCTTCAGAGGTATGTTGCACTTGAATCGTAAGGATGTTGCACAAGTAGATCTAGGGGATGTTTTGCCCATGTTTCAACCAATTTTCAAAGATTTTGTTGCAAGCACTGTTTCAAAAATGTTTCACTTGTTTCTAGACGATGTTGCAATCATTCTGATCTGGATGTTTCATATGCTTCGAACAAATGTCGCAACAATACTTTCAAAATGTTTCAGTTGCTTCAGTATCATGTTGCAGTAGTTGTCCCATGTTGCTACAAGTGTTTTTATTCGAGCGTTGTTTCATATGCTTTCAGCCTAATGTTGCAGCAGTTGTTCCGTGATGTTGCAATAATATGTTCATGGCGTTTCAGCTGCTTCAGCCTCATGTTGCAGCAGTTATTCCGTGTTGTTGCAATAATGGCCATGTTCGGCTTACCCCATATTCGGCTTGTTCAGCTTCTTTTTCCAATTTGAAAGCGAGTGTTTTCTCTCACAACAATTCGGTTTAAGCAGTGTTTGACCGATTTACCAAGTTTGAGACTATGAACGGGGCCAATGTTCATGGTGTTTCAGCTGCTTCAGCGTAATGTTGTTGTAGTTGTTCCGCGTTATTGCACGTGTTTTATTCCAGCTTTCTATGTTGTTGTACGGCCGGGAGGCGAGAAGGCGGAGGGGGCGCGTGGTTCGTCGGGGCCTAGTGGGCGGAGTCTTTGGGCAAGTGGACGCTTGGTGATGTGGCCATATGGGGGTCTTGGGCATGCAGCATGCTGCTCGTCATGGAGGCGTGGACGCGACCTTGACGAGTCATGGGCGATCTCGGGCGTCTGCGATTTGGGCCGGGCGTCTTTGGGGTTTTGATTTGGGAAGGGTGTGCTTGAGAATCGGAAAGGGACGCTTACTGGGAGGCGGATGGGAAGCGGACGAGGGGGGTCGAGCGCTGAGAGGCATCTGGATGCTAGCGTCCAGATCGGATGTCCAGGGGCTAGCAGTTCCATAGAATTTAAGGAGTTAGAGAGAGGCTAGCCGAAGGATTATATATGGTGGGACAATATACTAGGCATGGCCCTTCAGTCTGTCGGGGCTAGCACGGTCCCAACGCCATCAGGCTGGGCCGTGGACCTTTTGGCCAACTATATAATCTCAACTAGAATACGGAGGTAACTAAATGCCACAAAATGTAAATAACCAAACACGATTTATTAAAAGACGGTTTGCCTGCGCATAACTAAACAAGGCACTACATACACTTACGATGGTTTAGGTATTAGTCATCAATTTTTTTGAAACAAAGGTATTAGTCATCATCAGAAAATAGTTATTTTTCGTCAACCTTCCTCTTGATGTTGGACCAAGCAACTTTCCAAATCACGGTATCCTGGGTCCTACTACATCAAACTCTCACTGCTAGAAGATTAATTCACCTTACCTTGAGACTTGAGAGCTAAAACTAAACCCTCAAGAAAATTGCTTTTTCCTTGATGGTGTAAGTGTAAGGTATACTCTTCATTGAGGCAGTTTTTTTTATTGCAATCAACGCTTTGACATCATTTGCGCTTTGTACAGTTCGAGATCCTAGCTTGTACTTCCATTTTTGTTTATCTTTGCCTGTGTCCATTATTCTGTATGTGCATCGGTTTATGTTTTCATCACAAAATAGTTACTTTTTGTACGTGTGCGCTGAGTTGTATAGTGTTGTGCTGTACCTGTTCGCTTGGCTTATAAACCGTACTTTTTTGACCAACGAACAATATTTTTCTCTCACAACAAATCAACCAACAGTACTTTCAGCCATGGCTTATCAGCCAAACGAACGGAACATATGCTTCTTCATCCTATTGTCTCGCGCTTACACACGTCGTGACCTTCTTCTTGGCCAACCCACGCGTGCCTACGTTTTACAGCCGTATATCCCTGGCACAAGCACCCAAGTATATAGTTATATTTCCTTTTACAAGGTGATACTCAAATTTTCCTTTTATAAGGTGACAATCAGCCTACAAGATGTAAACTTTGTTCCAAAAATTGATTCGTGTTGTTAGAAACATTATAAGTACGAAATAAATTTCTAGAGTACCTAAATTTTTGGGAGTAAACAGCAGATCCCTGCAACATGTATAATTTGCAATTGGGCAAACTACGTTTGGATTTAAGAAGCTGTAGATCACATTTGCCATACAAAGTTACATCGTACAATAACGACAGGATAGTTCTTACAATTTCGTCATCTCATGTAACCTTACAGCATCACCTGGAAATGTTGGAAAAAGGGGGTGCTCGAGGCATCTCTGCCGCCCTCACTTTGACGTCGATGACCGAGCAGTGATGGAATAATGATACGTTGTGCTCCTTTGCTTACGATAAGAAGAATATACATCATCATACTGTCCCACCTCATTCGGATCGGCAGAAGCTCCGAGACCCAGCCGACCGCTGGACCCTGGTTTACTGTCAACGCTACCATCAGCACGCATCCCTGTCTCTGGGTTTGTTACAAGCAGATTCGGTGGGGGAGGGATGCAAGCGCCTCCCTTTCGCGCAGGAAGTTCCCTCTCATAGTCATCACAGTCGTCGGGCTCGCTTTGTCTCATTGGACCTTCTGATGGGTTTACCTCCCCAATATCACTGAAGAACTTTGATACACGCTCAAGGATCTCAGACTCTGGGACGGTTGATGGAGGGATGGTTGTGGGGATGTCAAGCGGGCTTAAGGAAGAGTACGGCACTCCACTACCTATTTGCATCTTCCGAACCATTCCAGGAATGAGGCCAGGGGGGAAGAGTGGATAAGGAGGTGGATTCGAATCATTTGTAGCAGCAGTGCTTTGAGGAGCCACAGAGGGAATTAACGATGGTTGCACTGGCAAAGATGCTGCAAAAGTAGTTTGTCCTACAGGAGGATAAACACCAGCTGGAAGTTGGTTTGCAGGAAACTGTGCAGAGGGAACAGATTGGGTTGCACCAGAATCAGGATGAATTGCCTTATCCTTCTCTGGAGGTTCCGAGGACCATTTTGAGCGCAGTGGCGCTGATCCTGCAAAAACATCTAGCAGCTTTTAGTTTTTTTACTACCAAAAAGCAAAATATCCATGCCTTACATTTTAAAAAGCTATTCCAAATAGACATTGTAACACCAGAGAATCAAACAAAGAATGATTTAACTGAGAAACACAAGTAATCAGCTAGAGAATAAAGTTCTCTAATTGGATGATGGGCCAGATAGGTTTCCAGGAATGAATTCTAGAAAGTTATGAATCATTCTAAATAGTGGCTACAACATATAGCAGCTAGTGCAGTCCAGAGCTACTAGTGCAGAAAATTTCAGGGATCAACATATCATGATCACAGCTATGTGAGTTGATGAATCAAATGAAGAAAAATGGTAATCAGATGGAAACTTACAGGTTAAGTACTAAAAAAAAAACAAAATAGCATCCTTATTTCAGAGCTAGAATCATCATCAGATAACAAAAAAAAAAAAGGGTTGAAGTACCCTGTACCTAGACAGAATGGGAAATAGAGGTAGTAAAGGAAGCAGAGAAAGGAGATACCTGAAAAGGTTGAGGGATCTGGTGAAACATGTTGTGGCACCAAAGGATAAGGCAAGCCGCCTTTCATCTCTCTTTCAAAATTAGAGATTGTTTCCTGGTCGTAAACTTCCTTGGAACCCCAAAACTGCAGGATTTTCTCAACGCGAGTCTGGTTGTCATCTTTACTTTGTGAATTATTGTAAACCCTTGCAAGCATGGAACCCAGTACGGATTTAAAAGCAATAGCTTCATTGTCAAGGTCCCGAATATTAGTTCGTCTTTGTAAGCTGTAGCAAGTCAAATACATTCAGAAATCAGCGATGCATTAAATTAAATACACATAGTTACAAGTCATGTGTACTTGAAACTCTCAGAAGCTAGATTTGATAGGTCAAGGGTCATGCATTAGCAGCTCCTTGAGAACAGGTGTTAAATATCCTAACCAAACAGAATCCTTAGTGATCTAAACCATTCCAATATTCTTAGTTGGGTATTATTCAATACCATGAAAGATCAGCCCATTTAAAACATACAGCAAAACTTCGTTTCAACTTGATAACATATATATGCATGCATTTCTATTTTCCCACATAGGCCCCTCCTATTGCAGTGTCTAAATTTATAGTACCATATTTTAGCACTTCCTTATGGTACATGGAGACTAAGATCTGATTACAGACAGACTTATCAATCTCATTCTGGTACAGGCGGAAACGTCTGGATTACCTCAGACTGCCATGTAGACTGGAACAACAGCGGTCAAATCCAGTACCGGTCATGGTTCTGGCTGATTTCGGCTGTACCAGGCAAAATCTAGCATTCCGTGGATGCCAATACTAGTTAATAAAGGAGAGTCCCAGTTGTCGAAGAACAGATTCTTCGAGTTCAGCTTGGGCGGGCGTGATAGCGATACTACAGGAGCAACCGCCGTTGCTTCTCCCTCCCGGCAGCTGTGACGCGATAAAAAAAAGTTTGGGATGGAGAAGATGTCTGCTTCCTAGACACAGAGCGCCCCTGGAACCTCAACTCCATCTATGGCCAGCAGCTCAGGGCCATCCGGCCATGGCAGCGAGCCAGCAAGGATAAGAGAAAGGATAAGGCAGAGAGAGAATGAGATATACTTTGTTCTGGCTTTCACTGAGTGGAAGAAATAGGTAAGAGGAGACAAATGTACACGTCTGTGTAAGCCTTCTGACAGCCTGTTCGGGAGGCCGTATCGTATCGTGGATTATTTACTGCTGGCTGGTTTGGTGTGAGAGAAAAAACACTGTTCCCGGCTGAAAATTTACGATCGTTTACGAGCAAGCGAATAGGCTGTGAATATGCAAGTGGCAGTATCTACCTTCCGAATAGGTAGTGAATATTTTTATTGGAAGAGCGGTAGGGCCAGTACTATAGGTACACGTGTGTGTAAACCTGATTGTAAGCAAGTAAATCCTATTTTATGCAGCACAGAAAATATGCATACATTGTTATATCTATCCATAATATTAAATAGGCTAATTTTCGCCGTTTCTAGAAACCTCCTTCATTAGTTTCCCATTCTATTTCGCTCCTATGTCTTTCCCGTGCCTGGATAGGGCTGTCTTGCATGTTTGCCTAAATGGAAAAGCTGTCACACACACAAGGAACAGACTGCTACTATGGTACATAATTGAAGAAAATCAAGGAATAGCCTCCTACTATAGTACACTTGCCCTGTTAAAGAAACGGTTCATGCAAGGCAACGGAAGCATGATGCATTTATATGTAGGCTGGTCAAGCTGGCTAGGGCACACCATAGCAACGCCGTGATCTTGGTGGGGTCCCTCTCGGACACGGCGTTTTTTCATACAAATCGCTCTCACACACATAATTATGTATTAAGTGTAAGATATATCTTCGTCTCAATACATTTTAGTGATTCCGCTGGGAACGATAGTTCTAGCTATTTTTAGTCCCCCGTATCTGCCCCTCACGTGTTCCGCATATGGATCTAAATATGGTGTTTCTGTTGTCCGTCATCTCCGCTCAAGTCTCACACTGATTTTCTATGCTCACAATTGAACCATCGTTCATCGCGGGAGCACAGTGTTTGGAATACTCAGAACAGATGTGGCATGTGGGCCCGGGTGACCTGCTAGAGCTATATGCCTCCTAGGGGCTGGTTCAGACCTGCCAGCATATGACTATGGGGAATTTTTTCTCCCCGTTGCAACGCAAATAATTACTAATAAATATAAATGCATTTACAGTTTATTATACTCTAGACTGGTACACCGTAAACAGATATTGTCTGGTACCGAAACATTCCGTTCCAATGGGTAAACCAGAATGGTATTGATAAGCTTGTTAGGGTCCCTCCGAACAAAAGCATGTATGCATTTGGTACAACAGAATATCGTTTAGAAAAGCACATCACAGCTTCACCAGGGTGCTACTTGCTATGTTTATAGCACTGCAGTTTCTAATGGACCAAAAAAATGGTAACAAACTGGGGAGTACCACTTTCATCCGCATGTGAAAAGGGTCCTAAATTACTAGATATATGATATCCATTAGAAACTGCAGTTTCTATGTTTATCGATTTTATAATCTGTCAAAAGACAAATTACAAAAGTAGATTTGTTTTTTTTTAAGGCCTTCTATTTGCCTAGAAGTACTTGTCTTCCAATGTTAAAATGTTGGCCTTAGCAAAGTTTAGTAGTTTTTGAAATGAATTAGGGTGAACTAAGATTGCATCAAGTACTCCCAATTCAGTGAGTGCTTATGAAGAGATAAATAGTGTGGATGCTTGAAATATGAATTAGTCACTCTACAAGCTGCTGCACTACAGCAATGAGATATGAAAACAATATATGCTGATAAGATAACACTTCATGCACTGGTATGTCAGTCAGCATGATAACTGAAGTATTCATCAAAAGGAACATAAGGACTATTTCTCAACGGAAGAACTACAATTGAAACATAAAGATAGGAAACAAATCGAGTCATACCTTTCAAAAAGAATATCGTTCACCAGGAAAATTATGTGCAGCTGCCGCTCCGAATCCTCCAACACAAATACTCTCTCCTTAAGAGCTTCAGCCAGAGCCGGCGCAAATGGCAATCTTTGCATAAACCATGACTTTGCTCCCTTTATTGATTCCTTAGTGCCATTAAGATTATTAAGCACATCTTGCAGCTCAGCAGCAACATCTGCTGGGAGCGGCCCGGACAGTCCCTTGAACGGTTGCGCCGCAGCTTCATAGTCCCCATGGCCGTGAGCAGCAGCAAACTGCTGGTGCTGGTCATAGAATGGAGGGTACCCCGGCTGGTGAATCGGCGGCCCCCTCATCATAGGGGCCATAGGGGGCATCATATGCATCGAGCCCGGCGGGTAGGGTGCCGGCACCGGCGGGCGCGGCAAGAGCCAGAGCATGTACCTGTAGTAGGCGTGACCTTCCCCGCCGAAGACGAAGGCGTAGTCCGGGTTGTCGTGCTGCTTGTCGCGGATCATGGCCTCGAAATCCGGCCCGTTCTTGGCGATGTACTCGACGAGCTTGTCGATGCGCTTCTGGAGCTCCGGATCGGCGGGGGGCGCGGCCGGAGGCGGCGGGGCGGATTCGAACGGCGGCGGGTGCATGTAAGGGTGGTGCGGCGGCGGGGAGGGCGTGGACAAGACGTGCGGCGGTGGCGGGTGCGCCGCGTAGGGGGGAGGCGGCTGCTGGTGCGGCGGCAGGTGTGAGTAGGCCGGCGGCATGGGGCGCGCGTAGGGCCCGGGCGGGTACTGCGGGAGCGGCGCGCCGTAAGGGTGAGGCGGGTACTGAGGCGGCGGCGCCTGCGGGTGGTACCCGCCGTACTGCGGCGGAGGTGGCTGCTGCCCCTGCGCGTACGCAATGGCCGCGGCCGCATAATCCTGGGGTTGCCGGTCCATGAGGGGCTCCGGCGAGAAGAAGGGTAGGGCTCCGAGAGCCGGCGACGGCGGCGGCGGAGACGGGACAGGACAGCAGGAGAGGAGAGGAGACGAGGGCCGAGAGAGTCCGCGAGGTGTCACGCTGGCCTCGCAAAGGGCTAAAGACCGCTGGACAAGACGGTCCCGTTCCAGACTCCAATCGGCCCATCATGTAATAGGATTTGGAGTGGTTTTAAGGCGGCTTTATCTTTTTTAGTTAGATAAATACTAGATATTGATAAGATTTAAAATATCTCTAAGCTTTTAATTTTTTTTTAAAAAAATCTAGAGATAGATGAGATATTAAAAAATCCAACAAAATTTTATGATCTCGTGAAAGTATTTTAAAAACTTCAAAAATTAGATTTAGATGTAGGAAAGTGAGAAATATCCGAAAAAACTAAAAAATACAAAACATTATGATTGATATGTAAATATGTTTTAAAAACTTTGCAAGATAAAAATATAAGATACAACCAACATGAATGCAACATACATTAATGTTGAATGCATTCATGCTAGCTGTGTATTATGTTTTTGTTTCAAAAAGTTTTCAAATTATGTTTACATATCAATTATATTATAATGTTTTGAATTTTTTTCTAGATTTTTATGGATATTTTTCCATTTTCCTGGAGCTAAATCTATTTTTAAGCATCTAGGGATATTTTCATGAGCTTTATATACTTTATTTGGATTTGTCATATCCCATATCTCTAGACTTTTTTTTTTGAATTCTTACAAGTTTAGATATTTTCTGTGGTTTAAAAACCTTGTCAAGTGTTTACTGATAATTTTAACTAAAAATACAAACCCACCTTCAAAACTACTCCAAACCAAGATAGGCAAGTAATTTGAATGATTTTGAGAGTTTGGTGAATAAGATATCTAGTTTTAAAGTTTAAGGAGAAAACGATAGTTCAAGAAGATATAATACTTTTTCTCGATACAAGATAATGTAATTTGTCTACTAAAAGAAATTTGGATTGTGATCTGTCAGGATCTTAGCAGCCGAAAACGTGGAACATGGCCACATTCCTCATTCCAGGAACGTCCACATCCCCGATGTTCCCACGTTATAAAATGACACCAAAAGTTCTCGTTCTCGTTCTCGTTCCACGTTCCCATTCCCTTTGTGGGGGCATGGCTGCTAAGGTTAGGATCACAAGGAAATTGATTCTCTAGAGTTTCTGTAAAATTCAAAAGGATTCCACATTTACGATCTTTATAAAGTACATATGTTACATGCATGAAAACAACCAAGCATAAGAATTTTATATGCACATAATTTTTAAGGCAGTGAGACAAGACATGGCGAGCCACCCCTTAGGATCTTGGTCAGTCGCTAGGCGACACCTAGGCGATCATAAAGCAAGACAAGGCATGGAGAAGAGAGAAATGAAAATGAAAAAAATAAAATAAAAGAAGGACAAGGCACACAAAAAAAGGCCTAGACCACGAGCCAGCCCATATAACCTTCCTGGCATGTTACATGACCTTTTGTGGTCCTCCCAAACCATCGTCGAGCATCTCCAACGACCTTTTCCCCTTCCCTTCCTCATGACTATTGCCGCCCCCTTCCATATCCCCATCCCCTTCCTCACTGCTGGCGCTACACCCTTTCCAAAATTCCTTTGTGTGAGAACTGTTGGCCTACTGCTGTCCCTTCTAGAGCCCCCTCCTAGATCTGCAATCTCGCAGAAATTTGGTGGTGAAGAATGTTGCAATGGCCATGGGAACTAGAGCGGATGGAGATGGGTGCTCAGCCTTGCGTGGTCCTCCAGTTCTCTTCTCCCTACCCTGCTCTCATTTTGCTGATTTTTTAGGCCTTTTTTAGCGTTTGGACACCTAGGCGACGCCTTAAAAACCATGATTATACATACTGTTGATTTCCTAAGACAAGCATATCATAGTTAGCATGTCATTCAAGTATGAAATGTTCAGAACGCCCTAATGTTGCTAACATGAGTACATGGCATGGCAATGTGGAGAATCCATGTTGACAAGTCAAACTTGTGAACATTTTTTGTGCACTTTGAACACAAGTCCACAACTTTATGAACCTCTAGTATCAGAATTCATAGACTTAGAAGGCATTTGGTAAGTTCAAGGATCACGCATGCATTTCATGATAGGTAGATGAATCATGGATGCATAGTTTGTAACCTGAGGCTGAGGCGGAATAACACAACCAATCCAAAAGTCTCTTACTTAAACTGGCTAAGAATAATACATGAAGCTACTAAATATACCAGCCCCTATGACCCGAAGCAAAAGGCATACAAGTAGTTTTAGAAGCTGGCATCGATGTCGTCTGTTGAAATTGCCTCCTACAGCTCAAATCATTCAACCACCGACAGCATCTGCTCACTAATCAACATCAACTTCCTCATCATCATCACCCTTGTACTGAAAAACAGAAGGCATAGTGTCAAGAGTTTGTTTCAAGAAATGCATACAAAAGTTAATTTTAAAAACATATTCAAATGTCTTCCAAAAATGATAAATGAGCTGTTATATCTGAAACAGAAGGTGGCACTACTGAAACTTTAGAGCAATGGAGAAAAACTAAAGTACATTTTTAAGTCAGGCAAACTACAACATAATATTCCATGATACACTAAAATGTTTCAAAAGATAAAAATATAGGTTAGAAAGAGACATGTAGACGACTCGAAATACCACAAGAATCCATCAGGCCCTAGAAAAACACTGCAAACTTCTTGAAAATGGTCAAGGTGAAAAGTATTTTTACAACTTGTACATGACTAAGATTTGCCTCATGACATAATTATTGTAAATTGTAAATAATAAGATGCATATGCAATGAGTTGCTTGACCAAGAAGGACATGCTAAAATTAGGCTGTTTCATGTTCTACATATACATAATAGATAATAACAAAGAAAATTAATGGTATCATAACCCAGTTGCTGGTTACTACTTGGTAACATGGGGCTACATATAGATAAATAAAGTTACTATTGCTGAACAATTGAAATGTCGGATCACCGTAGCCATTACTGGTGCCACCTATTTGGCTACATGAAGATTTAGTCCTATGTCCACGTTTTTTGGTACAAAAACAGACATATGTTCCTCCACAGTTATTGAATCATTCAGTAAGATTGCCCAAAGGATAGCATAGCCTAGAGGCTCGCCCAGGCAACCAAACACCTCTAGAGGGTGAGTGCAACATATCAATGTGTGGCTCTCCTGTTCGCCTCATCCCTTCTTGTGCTGCCATTCCTGCTGGTTGGACCTCCACCATCCATGCTCCTCTCTTGCACCGCACCCTCCTCAGGACCGCCCCCTGAGCATGCTCCGGAATTGTGCCACTGCCAGCCCGCGGCTGAATATCGCTCGTCCTGATGCGCCGCCAAAGGACGCTAGCCGCTGCTCTGTAGTTGCACTGCGGCAGCCAGCTCCAGCGATGGGGAGTGGGGGAAAATGCCAGAACAGGAAGCAAAAGCACAGAATAAAGGTTGGGAAGGTGCATGAGGAGGTAGTATGTGAGATGTGTACTGGCCGGCAGCTCACCTTCAAGGAGTTTGAGCTTTGCATTGGTTGTTCATCAATCGTGCACGAACTAATGAAGCTGTTGACAACTGCCACGTCCTCGTCCACCCCCACATCCAAGCCCCAGAGGAAGCCATAGGAGGGTGGCTGCATGACATCAGACACTTAGCGACCACTGTCACATATGGACACCACACCAAGTAAGGGGAGAAGCAGAAAGAATTTTAGCGCCTCAATTCTGCCACCTGGACAGCCTTGATGGCATTGGCTCGTGCAATGCTGGAAGGGTTCAGGTGCGGCTGTACGGGAAGACGTGGAAGGGGCTCACTCAGTCAGGAGTTGGCTGTCCAAATGGGCTCTGTGTGGTGCATCAACTCCAGCCTGGTCGGATCATACCTTGCAATGTCTGGAGAGGACCTTGTGATCCATGTGTGGGAGGTGACAGGGAGGAAGAAAGTGTGAGTTGCTCGGGGAATGATTCACCAGAGAGAGCAAGTGACTGTAGACAGCGGTTGGCCTCCAGATGTATTCTGTGTGAAGGGATAAGAGGCAACTGCATAATGGTCCACTAGCATGCGTTGGGAAATAAAATGGAAAAGGAAAAGAAGGGAAACAGAGAAAATGGGATAGAAACACCTGAAATAAAGACTGAGTGTCTCCGGTGTCAAATTTTGGAAGTCGCGAGAATTGAGTGTTATATCTTAGTGAGGCATGCATATTGAGAACCATATTCTGAAACCTCTCCTAAATTCTATGATAACAAACTCAGAAAACTACAGAAATTTCCATGGAATTTGCAGAACTACAATAGCTGTAGGATAACAAAGGGCATTAAAGAGAATGTCTATTAATAACATAATGAGGCAACAGATCATGACATACTTAGTAAATGATTATAAACAATTTTGCTAAATGAGTTAATGCAAGAAAGACGTCTCACCCTATCTGCAAAAATATTGCTTGAAGAGACAATGTTTCCTACATCATCGTAGTCACCCTCCCTTAACTTCTTCACTGTAAATGATTCTGGTAGATCAGTTCCCTTGCTATCTTGGACATGTTCTAGTGCATCTTCAGGTCTATACTTCTCTGATGCTGGGATCATATCATCGTCATTCTCTCTGTGTCTCTTTCCTGAAAAGGAACAGTTTACACATGAAAAAAAATGTGGTAAAATGTGCACATATTCAATGATGCCCACGTGTGAGAACAGGAGATATGTCAAGCATCAACCAGTAAGAGGGAAAAGTGGAGAATAGGTAATAATTATCTCGACAGACTTGATCAATATGGATAAACAATATCATCCCAGGATCAAATTTATGTCTACAAAGATCTCATGTAGGTTTACCAGTTTTTGCTTCTTCACTTGTTGGGAGGGGAAATAGGTCTTTTTCTTGCTGCTGAAACATGATTTTGTCTTTGGTCACTTGGGCTCATTCCATTAGCATCATATGGATCTTCATTGGCAGTAATCCCGATGGAACCCTGCTCCTTGGTACAAGGCTTCAAAATATCTGAAGCAAGCAAATCTGCTAGCCTCTCAAAGCGAGCCTGAGACCTGCAGACCTCAAAATGGTGAACAGCTATGCAGTAATCATACAAGGACTAAAACTAGGAGTGCTATTATGTTTTATTTCAGACCATACACAAGTTCAGGAACATTTAATATATGGGGAAAAGAAACCTGCCTCTTTAAATCCTCCTGTGCTTTTATATAACGCCCATGTGATTTGATTAGCTTTTTGGTTTTGGAGGTCATCCTAAATTGAAAAGGAGGCATTAGGGAGGGGAAACAAATACTTGGTGATCTTCTCTTATGCTGAAGAACCCACCAACTGATATGTAAAGAAGTATTTTCTAGAAATATAAGACCTTTGGCAATCTTCTCTCTCTTTGTTCAGTTGCAATTCAAGATCTTCTACTCTGCTACAAAGTTTGCGCTCTTCATCAGTCTTCTTCTCCAATATCGCCTGCGACATAGTGAATCAGTGAAAAATTGTAATATCTAGCCAAGGTTGATTATGCTAATTTGATGATCAGGACTGTTGCTTAGTCCTCATCCACAGAAGTTCTACTTGGTCTTAATGGGTTAATTTAAATGTCTTGTAACATAGATGAGAAATTCCACAACAATAAAGTTTCATCACAATCATTACAGTTAAGGCAGAAAAATAACAAAAAAGAGGGAACAATTGAAATCATAGAGTAACTAAAAAAATCACAATTGTGATCAACTGACAAATAAAATGAACTGATGGAATCCATGCATTATCCTTTCAATTCCTCCAGATATATTAACAGCTCAAGGTGATAAGTAATCAATATGTAAGACATGTCCTGAAAAATCATAACTGACCTCCAGCTTTGATTTATCTTCACGTAATGCTTCCATGTCCAGATGCATTTGTTTCAGCTGCAGGGAACATGAAAAATATATAAAAAGGTCTAGGAATATGGGGATAGATTCACTTGTATGTTATCATGACAAGGAGATGGATCGCATAGTTCAAACTTACTTGTTCTTCACGACCATTTTTCTCATCACTGCTTAAGTACCTTTCATCTTTTCCTGTGTCTTCATTATCAGAACTTCTAAAACTTATGGATGAATCGGTTTTTCCACCATCAGGACTTTTGCTATGTTTTCTCTCACTGAACAGTCCATAGAACATAAACATAAAGATAGGCAATTTCAGAAGCCGTAAAAAGTTGCAAAAAATAGCATGTATACAGGTCACATGTCTAACATAAGATCAAAACTCTCCTTGGTTAAACCAACACTGAAGACTCTACACCCACCCAAAGTTATAAATGGATAATGATTACACTCCATGGTAGATTGTGGTTGAACAATAGAATAAAGGGTCTCATAAACCACAAACTTAACATTGCAGCTCGCACAGATAAAAAATTAAAGGAAACCAATAAATCAGCAGGGATTAAGTCATGATGTCACATGAAGATAGACTAGCCCGATGGAATAAACAAGTTTAAGTATACAGAGTTAACTGAACACACGACAAACTGAACAGTGGCCACATTCTGAAATGAATCCCTAATAATCGTTCCTACATACCTCTTCCTAATAGGTGATCTTGAATGACTAGATCCTGCAAGTCAAATTTCAGGGAGTAGTTAGAGGATAGAATGGACAATAGCAAATAATTTTTATTGGCACAAGTGTGCACAGAAAAAGTGATTACCCCTATCTTCAGAACTTGGTCTCTTATCACGAAACGAACGACGCCTGGTATCTCTTTCGGGGGAATACCTCGGTGAGTGTCTTCTCTCAGGCTTAAGTCTAAACTCATGATCTCTGTAATCCCTTCTCCCTACAAACCAGGAAGGTGGAAGATTTACCCAAAAAACATTATGCCATCAAAGAACAAAAGTTAGATGGAGCTTCATACATACAAGGCAACACAGAAACCCATTAAGCTTACCACAACCTTGAGCCATATGGTTATTCAATTAGCTACAAGAATTAGAGGGTCCACAATAACACCAATACACCATAGGCCATAAACACAGATGAGCCAATACAACTAATGAAAGAATAGATGCCAATACATGATTATACATCATGATTCACCACTTAGAATAGATCCAGTACTTGTAATACCAATCACCTGAAGTACATTTGGATGGAATCACCAAAATTAGTTATAACTAGCTATCATATTCCAATCATCATGACGTAAAATCTTCCAAAACTCCAGTAGCACCAAATAAATTTAATTTCACTTGATCAGATGTTACCCATATGACTGCCAAAAATCTTGTTCCAAGATGATACTTGAAGGGCAGGTAACAATAAAGCCACGGATATAGCTTGATGCAGTATATTCAAAGGGCGTGTTTCAATTAGATGCAAAAGCTTCTAACAGCATTGTTAAAGCTCACTGACCATAGCATGAATCTCATCGAGAAGATAAAATGTATGATATCTTCCATATTAAGTTCTTCTGATGCAGGTTAAGCATTCAAGTGATCATAAATGATCGAGTGCCAACTGAAAAGAAGGCCAAGATGGAAATAGGATGTGTCATCCTCTGGAAGCAGTCAATCTCAACAAATCTGCCCATGAGACATCTATTGTAAAATCAAAATAATAACCAGCAATGCCAAGATTATCTGCAGTGAAATCAGGCTTGTTGATGATTTTGGTGTTCTGCAACAGAGAGCACTCAATTCAAGTACCACTACACAGGAATCATAGTGTATATGCACCATAAGACGAGAAGATGTAACACAAACTGAGAAAAGATTCAGGTGCCAGACCATCATACTGTTATGCAATTGAAGTGTAGAGTCTTCTCAGCCACGAGTAGAAACTATAAAGCCTCCCAGAATGGTCAGCTGTTAACATTTGCACCCCCAATTTGTACATCCTCCAAGGATGCACTTGCAAGTTATTACCATTATATAATTCTTGCAGTTGCAACTATCTTCCCTGTTTGCTAGATCTGCTCCTGAGACCATACGATTCAGATCACAATGCTATCTGTCAGTGTTTGCTGCGCCACTAGCATTCAAACATTGGGCTGTGCCTCCAGTCATTCAACAAATCATCCCAATAACTCGATGAATAAACAGGCAGAAGATGCGTCTCTTTGAAGAAGAGCGCGCTAGTGTCTCTTGCTCGGATTGAAACCATCCAAATAGCCTAATCCGCCAAATTGGCATGGAATCGACAACATTTTGGGTACGGCAAAACCCAGAAGCAGACGGTAAGGCGATGCAAAGCCCTAAAACGACAAACTAAGCGCGGTTCGAGAATGAGAGCGGGGGGATGGAGGTGCGCGTGGTGCATACCAGGTCGAGGGCGAGGCTGGAAGGAGGCGCGGGGGGGCGGCCTCCGGAGCTCAGCCTCGCCGTGGGCGAAACCGCAGTTGGGGCGGGGGCAGCCGCCCCTGCCCCTCCACAGCGCGCACAGCTTCGTCTTGTACGCCGGCCCGCGGAAGGGAGGAGGGCCCGACGCATCCGGGCTCCCGCCTCTGTCCCTCTCCCTCATCCCCTCCCGCATGGCTCCTGAACGCGGCCGACGGCGCCCCCGCTTGCTACAGTCGAGACGCCGGCCGAGAGGGTGAACCGAAGACGACGAATGCCACGAGGGGAAATGGGAGGAGAACAGGGAAGGCCGGAAGGGCCTATAGGCGGCCCATGGGAGTTTTCGAGCCCAGCAAGCTCAAGCCTTCGCCGGTATGCCGTTTGCCCTAGACCCGTTCGCCGCCACGGAGGCTATAAAAGAGCCAACCCGTGCTCCTCTTTTCTACCTAGGGTTTCAAGAACCAGCCCGCCGCCGCCGCCTCGCCTAAAGCTTTCGCTTCGTCCTGGGTGCCCCCGCCTCATCGTTTGTCCTCCGCGCTGCAGTCTGCTTCTCCCTTTTCACTCGTAATAATATCTTTACCGGCGGAGTTGTTTTGCATCGTTTTGATTTGTACCGTACTGTTTTCCTCTCCTGTTCATACCGGCGGGGGCACGAATTCTTCCGTGCTGCGCCGCCCACGCAAGGAGGGGATAGATCGACGCGTCAAGAAATCGTTTCAGTTGCCAAGACTCCAGTAGGCAATATGATTGTTGCTTGACTACAGTTTTGTCTCCCACTGCCTCGCCTTTATTCTGTTTGTTTCATTTAAAAATCTCGCTCGCGATTTGAAGATCTAACACGGTTTCCGCACGGTGCTAACCCCGGGCTTGTCGGATTATTACTTGAAGAAGGAAGCCCCAATGCCTGTGCTAGATCCACTATGCCATTCAGTGTTGCAGGCCCTGACGAATCTTGTGATCGGTCTGTGTCAAAGCAATGGATACAGATATTCGTAGTACACAATTTCTTATTATGTTTGGTTTGCTCTTTCGTTTGATTGAATTGATGATTGATGGCAGTGATTTGACATTACCCGCGCTTCTGATCTAACCCGTGAAGCAAAGGGAAAACTAATGGTTGAATTTCTTAATATGAGCCATCTAGTAATCATTCAATTGTCTGTTGTTATTTTCTGCATTAGGTCATTTCGTTCAAGTGATTGATTTGGCAGTGATGATACAACCTTCAGCTTACAACGCCAGTTCTGCTTCTGATAACTCATGACAGATAAAGCTGATTCATATCTGAGCCTTATCAGTGTCATGTTTTGACAAATCTATACTTAGGATCATGCATTTTTCTGTGGCTACTCATGAAGTCGTTCAATGTTTGGAGGCTGCAATCGGCTCAAGTTCCTGCGTAGTAGCTCCTACTTGGAGCTGCTGCACCCGCATGACAAGACTGGGCAGTGTCCAAATGCATTTGCAGTTTAGTAATAGTATTGTAGTTTAGTTTTTCCCTCAAATAATTATACTGGGTAAATCGGAACCGAGTTTAACTATCCTTGCACTAGTGCTTTCTGATTTGTGTTGAGGCTGAAAAACTCGGAGAGTGTGTGTTGTCATCAGCTTCGGCTCTGTATTGTGAGTTGGGAGTTAAATAACAGCACAATATTGTTTACTTATGTGGGTTTAAGCCACATATTTTGCCTTTTCGTTGCAACACACTAAGTACCAGTTCTCAACCTTTTTATTATTAGTTTACATACATTGTTCTTTACTTCCTGCTCTGAGAAGTTAGATTTTGAGTGGTGATGAGCAATTGTGTTTTGGACTAGAGTTTCTGATACTAGTGGTATTTGAAGACCAAACCCTTGGCTGTCTGAACTCATCTAACAAGTGAGCAATATATTTGTCATTTTAGATGTAGATTTTTCCCCCTTTTTTCCATTAGATGCGTCCATTACCAATTCTGGAGGATGACTCTGTTCCTCTGTGTATAATGGCTTGGACGCGACATGCTATTCTAGATAGTTGTGTGGTTATATCCTGATTGGTGTCTTTCTTTGTGTCAATCCAATCCTGGAAAGGCCACATATATTCCATTACATGCCAAGCTGATAAATTATCCATGTGTTTTTGGGATATAAATAATGTAAAACTTTGAAAGTGAAAGCGCCTGATCTGTCCCTGAAAGTTTTTTTTATTGTTCAAGTGGTCTAGTTAGAGGTGTGGTTGACGATAACAAAGTAAAATACAGTTATCCCTGTCTTATTCCAAAGGGTGCTGAGAACACTTATCTGACACAACTATGTATTTATAGTAGTTTGAAGTTTTTCCTTTCAGCTGCATTTTATTTTAAATTTTAAATCTGAACAAAAGTTGATTGTCTGATTTCGTTTTTGTTTGATCTTGGCCTTCAATGAGATGATTGTTGCAGAACAGGCAAACTTTTGCCTATTATCTGTTGATATCTCTCATGAACTAGTGCGGTGTGAGGCCATTTGTTCACTTGTGAGCTAATTTTAAATGTTGGTTGATTTGATATCTTGAAAAATGAATTTAAGAGTGATGGCAGTGACGACTTGGTAATATTCAAGCTCAACAGACCAAATCACATGTCAATCTCTTTATTTTAATGAGATTAACCTGTATGCCGAATATCCTGCTGAACTGAACCATCTGAATTATCTTGTTGGCCTCTGCTTTATTTTCCGAGCTGTTTGTATCGTATATATATATGTATCATTTTAATCTTGCTTCTTTTGAGGTTTCTATTCAAAAATCATCACTGTGGTAATATTGTGTCTTGAGAGGCAACAAATTAGAGTCTCTGATGTGCTTTTCTGTAGCGCATTCAGTGCTGTACGTTGCCAATAGCGAGCTTGGAATAAGTTATCATGCATTCACTGTCCTCTCAAACAGTGTGTGCATCCCGATGTCCAACATTCCTCACTTTGCTTGAATCCTTTGCAAACTTTCTTCTGCAGATATGTGTACGGCCTTTGGTTTTAACATTGTTGGTTGGTCACAAGGTATTGTAGGATGACTGCTTTATTCTTGCCTTTACCAATAATTTCTCTAGTTTGTTGTGACAAGTTCTGCTATTTAGACCCAGTGAAGATCTAACACCAATGGATAGGAAGTGCCGTTTGACTCTAAATAGCAGCGGCCTCAACTGTAGATGTCCATACTTCTACAATAGCCTTTGTGGTTTTTTCTGGGATGGAGCTCACATGTGCAGCTGTTTGATTCACCTGTGGGGGTGATTCAAAAAGGTTCATTGAGGGATTCTACATAAAACATCTTGTTGATGTGTACTGTCCTGATGTTTTTATGGTCCTGATGCCACGTCTCCAGTAGCCATGGGCATTGACTGGTGATGCTATGATTAGGCCTATACAGAGTGGTCTCCATGTTTCACATGTTTATAGGAACCTGGGGACTGCATCTCAATCTGTCCTCAGAGCCGGTATTTGTGATTACAGTTACTGTTCAATTTACACATTTTATTTGGTGGTTTGGTAAATTCATATATGGCTATGATGATAATGTTAAGGCTAAGTGCCTTTGCCCTGCTAAGCTTGAGAGTTAGTGCTGTTAGATCCTTCCATGCAATTTCAATTTTTGAGCTGCCTGGTGGTTTGGTAAATTCGAACAATATTCAGAATTTCTTGGAATAACACCTTCACACAGTTTGGTGAGAGCTAGCAGTAGATGAAGTGATTTCAGACTATGGCATAGTACTAGCTTTCAGCAGTTTGGGCTACATCTTCATAACACCATGATGGGCTGATAGTTATGTAGTTATGTATATGCTGTCCAAACTGCTGGAAGTTAGTGTCCATGTGGCTGCTGCCCCATAGTGTGGAATCCCGGTTCTGAAAGCTCACCCCCATAGTATGGAATCCCGGTTCTGGAAATATGGGTCCTGCATAAATAGGTCCTGCAGTTGGTACCTATCCGGCTGTGGCTCAGAAGGCTGCGAAATATCATCAGCCTGCAGCATGTCGCTCTGTGCTCCCTCAATCTCCTCAGTCGTCTCTGTAAAACGAGTCAGCTCTCTATCCTTTAGTGCCCTTGCCCAATATTGTCTTCTCTGCATTCCCCTATGGAGACGGTCTTACATGGTCCTGCTCTTTTTGCCCTTTTTTTTTGGTGCTGTTTTGTTTGCGCTATATGGAGTTCTTGAATGAGTGTTTTTTCAGGCTACATGTTTGCTTTCTTGTCTCCTGACAATTTTCTCCTTTTTTCGTGTTGTTTTGTTTGTGCTATACAGAGTTCTTGAGCATGAATGATTCCTGAGGACTGGATGTTGGATCGCTGAATGTTATTTGAGGTCAAATCCAATTGTTGCTGATGTTCTACAGAGTCCAGAGCTTTTTTCTCTTCGTGAGAGCAGTTTGATGGAAATATAATTAGATGATCAATTAGCAGCAGTTAATTATACATTAGTTTCTATAGTCATATCCTTCCCAAATAGTCGGCATCACTTGTTATCCATCAATATATCATTTATTCTTTAACTCCTAAGATGACATTAGAGAGGACGGGAGACATAAGACAAACACATGCATCTACATCACCGGTTTAAAGTATGTGTTTAACTGTGTTCATTGCCGCAACCGATGCATTTTCCCAAAGATCTCATTTGTTGGTGTGTGCACCTGATGCTTTTTCTCGTAGATTATCTCATTTCTTGATTTTGATACCTTTTCCCGTAGATATTAGGATCAGGAACAGTTGGTTAAGTCATTATTAAAGTAACATGTTCTTTGGACATTTAGAACCAGTAGTTGCCAAGCCAAAGTTGCCACTAATTCAGAAGTAGGAACAGTTTATCAAAGGAACATCGTCTATATTAGGATCAAGAACAGTTTGTTATGTCGTCAAAGGAATTTTTGGGTATTTAGTTAACAATAACTTTCAGAAGTAGCAACAGTTATGTCATCAAAGGAACATGCCACCATTCATAAGGGATGACTCTTTTGAAAATTTGTCTTCAAAAGAACTATATTTTATATTTTACTTTTAACAGCGAATATTGTTAAGACAGCTCATTGTTGAGGGTGCCCTCTCGGTATGCAAAGTTAGGGCTTGATTGGTAGGGTTCCGGCTTATCTTAAAATGGATTTGGCTCTGGTACTCTATAGGAGTACAAGCTTTTGAAAAGCATTTGGCAAAATGGCTTCTCATGTTTTGGCTCCTCTATGGTTG